CAAGCCAGGTGGATCCACCTTCAATTCCTGCTGCCTTCCCTGAGGTAAGAGGATTTCCTTGCCTCCCAAACAGCTGTTTTTGCCCTGAGTTGTTTCATAAAAGATTAGACTGAAGTAGCTTATCTTTCTTAAAGGTGTGTGTCTGTTTAATTTACTTGGCTTTCTGTTTTTCCAATTATATGTCCTTCTGCTGCATAGAGCCTGCGTTTCCAAAAATGTCAGGATGGATGAGGTAGCTCTTAATACAGAACTGCTTGAAACAATTTTAAGTTGAAGTCTTTCAGCCTTTTAGCCAGCCACTTACCACCCCCTCTGTGAGCTCCCTCAGCTCCCTCTAGAAGCCTGTGGCTTGTCCCTGGCCCTCTGACTCGCCTCTAGGCAAGTTGCTGGGGAGAGTACCTGTGGCCTTTCCATTTTCCTAATGCTGCTTCACTCTCAATCCTGTGGCTCAGCTTTCATTGTTCTATGCGACTCCCTGGGTTCTTACTGGTTTGAGGGACTCTAGGAGTACAGCTGTAGAGGGCAGAGCCTCTGGCAACAGTGAAGTGAGTTTTCCTCTGCTGGCCCAGGGAGCACCACCTCAGTGGCCTGATCATTCTCATTAACTGGAACTGGAAGGAACGGGAAGGCTTGTGTTTTCCTGTGGTGTGGCACGATAAAGATGCAGCCACGATGGAATGAAGGCTTGTTCAGGCCTGGTGCAGCTTTGCCTTTAAAAACAGATAGCAGCCAGGGGAAGAAGAAAGCAGCCATCTGGTCAGCCCCTTCCTCTGAGAAGCCAGTCTCAGCTGGTCCACCTGTGCCTCCATTGCCCTACCATGCCAAAGTGGAGTGCCAAAAGGACTCATCATCAGAGCTTGACAGCTCAAAGGAAGCATTTCTCAACAAAGGGGTAACCTGCTGCCACTATTTCAAGTGAATCACCTTAGCTATTTAGAATCACGGCTGAAGCCCGTGGGCTCTGCTTGGTGTACGTTTCCACCTAAAAGGCGTGCTGTCCCACGGGTGGAGTTATCAGGAAGCCTTATTTTCACCACTTTCCCTCCCAAGTGGTTCTTCAGCTTCTTAGCAGGCCGGCATCATGCGATCATGCCTTCTGCTAAGGAAGCCACTGCGGTTCAGCATGGCTCCCAAACCGCACTGCTACTGGACTGGCAAGACTAGCAGTGGTGACATTCAGCTCTTCTGCTGCTCCTGCAGGTGAGCCCATGTGTGCATGCCCTGCAGCGGCTCTGCGGCCTGGCCAGGGAGCTGATGCATCTGTGCCCCTTGGCCTTGTCTGGAGCTGCGCTGACTGGCCTCATGATGGCAGCCCCTGACCAACCCAGCTGCCAAAGGGGAACGTGCTTTGCAGAACAGGCAGGACAATCTGAGCTGCCCGCAGAGCGGCAGGGATGTCTGTCTTCAGTTTCAGAAGACCAACAGAAACAGGCAAGTGAGACAAAAAGGATGGGCAAGGAAATGGAGTGGTTCTTGTTTTTTTCTGTTTACAGGAAGCCTGGGGGCAGAGAGGTGGTCTATAGGAGTCTATTGTAAATAGGATATTTTTTAATAACAGCACTTACATGCTTGTTTTTCTTTAAAAGATGACCAATCTCCTTTCATTCAGCGCTTTGAAACGCTTCCTTGGGGTAGAGTCTAGCCCTGCAGGATGGGAAGGGGCCTCATTTTTAGAAGATCAGTAGTTGCAAGGAGAGACGGGATGGTTTCACTGGGCAAGGATCAGTGGGCCCCCAGGCACCTGACTGCAGCCACTAGAGCATCCCACCAGCACAGGTCGCATCACCCTGGCCCAGGTAAAGCAGAAGATCCAAACCGTGGGGCTTCTACCAGGTAGTCAACTGATAAGACCCATAGCTCAAGTGAGAACATCGTAACTTTCTTGGCTCAGTGGCAAGGTGTTGAGAAATAACAGTCAAAAGGAAAGAGAACAGACTTTTAATGATACTTTTAAAAACAGTTCAGGCTGGTGAAGCAGAAAAGGGATGTGATTACAACTTAAATGAATCAGTCACTTGCACGATTAAACAACCCTCTTGGCATCACACAAACTAGGCTTTAATGGCAAACGGCATCACAACATGAGCCACCCCGTGGAAAGCAGTCTGGAGTCGCCATGCTCACACCTGAGGGCGGAAGTGCCACACCCAGGGATGGGTGCAGATACCACCACAGGCCCACTTCTCCTTCCTCTGCTGTGGGTATGTTGCTGTGGCTGCCCTGGTCACCTGGGACCCATGCCCTGGCTTCAGGAATAGCTTTGCCCATGAGCTTTGCCAGGGCTTGAGTGAAGAGGCCAATTCAGCAACGGAGGGTACATGAGAAAGCCGACGGGATGGTGGAGATTCAAGTGGGATCAGTTTACCTAAAGAGACTTATGTACACTAGACCAATGAAGGGGGTTTGGCTTTAAGAAATAAATATGTCCCCAACCCCAGAAACCAAGCTGCTGAGTAGGTTCCACAGGTGAGATACACATTTAACATTTAACTGGGGCCAGTACACTTTACTGGTTTAATTCTATTACATTTGTCATCACTATACACTGAGTAGAATACAGTGGATAAGCAGAGGTTTCTCCACCATGGAGAGAGATTTGTGTTGCCACAAACTGTTTCTATCACCCACCTGTGTGGGAGGACTTCTGAGAAAGTTTTCCTGTTCCAAGGAGCCATGTGACTTGGTGTGAGGCCAGCCTCAGCAAAAGCTCTCTGAGTGAGAAGCCGCATACATGCTGGAGACAACATGGCAAAAGGGAAAAGCCCTGAAGAGCACAAAAAGATCAGCTTTCAAAATAGGTGTAATAAGGCTACAAAGTTAAAAATGTAAAATACAAGTAGGCACATTTACATCACTGGTGTTCAAGTGTACACTTCAAATGGATCCAATCGTTTTCTAAAGAATCTTCGTGATGCCATTTAAATATCTCTGCTTAAGTAAAGTTGACTGATAAAACACTACAGAAATTCAAAGAAGATGTATTCATCTCCTAAGCTAACAGTGTTGCCTGTCTGAAGACAACTTGGCTCCACAGTTCACTCTGTTGGTAGGCTCCATGTGGCATAAAAAGAGACAGCTTTTCTTCACCAACACCAACTCTGCCCACGTCGTTGCTGTTTAGGTTGTAACAGTCATCGTTCAGAGAGTCGAAGGGTCAAAGTGCAAATGTTGGCAGTTACAGCTGTCTGCCTCCTAAGCAAAAGAGCCTGGACTCATAGGAGATTCTTAGCAAGGTCAAAGGAGACTCACGTTTCAGGTTCAATCAGATGTGTTGTTAATGTGCTGATACAGTAGATCAAATAATGTAGAACTGTCATTTTTGCAGATCCAAACCAATCAAATATCATAGTTTCAGGTAGTTCAACCTGATCAAATTTAGCACTGTAAACTAGGTTAAGCACACCTTTCCCTTTAAATTATCTTCTAGGACTCTCTGGTCCTAAGTTGCAAGGCCTAAACATGATGGCAGAGCTTTATTCCCTAGAGTGAAAATGTAGACCAGCACTGTCCAAGAGGAACTGTGTGTTGTTAGGAATGTCCTAGATGTGCACTGCACCCACACATGTGGGTGTGAGCACTTGAAACGTGGCTACTATGACTGAGGAGCCGAGCTTCTACTTTATTTGAATTTCAGTAACTGCGTGTAGCTAGTGGCCATCACAAGTTTACATATAATTGCAACTTGCTCCTTGGTCATGTTACAGTGTTTATCTATAGATATGTAGGGTTCTGAAAAGATATAGGTCTTATCCAGCTAATATTAAAATGAAAGTGGGGCCACATATGCTCTTGCACCTTCAGATAGTGGACCTGGGAGGAGATCCACCAGACTGACTTTTACATTCATAAACCCTTAAAAGTCTTGACCAGTTTGTCCTTTTTTTTTTTTTTTTTTGAGTTGGACTCTCACTCTGTTGCCCAGGCTGGAGTGCAGTGGACCACTCACAACCACCCCAGTGTCGATCTCCTGGGCTCCTGGCGATCCTTCCACCTCAGCCTTCCAAGTCGCTGGAACTACAGGCATGCACTACCACGCCTGGCTAATTTTTTATTTAGTGTAGAGACGAGGTCTTGCCAAGTTGCCTGGGCTGGTCTTGAACCCACGGGCTCAGGCAATCCACTCACCTCGGCCTCCCAAAGCGCTGGGATTACAGGCTGAGCCACCGAGCCCGGCCCAATTTTTCTTTTAATGGAAAGACCAAAATTACTAAAAAGTCTGGTCAGCTGGCTTAACATGAGGTACATTTTGTTCTTTGTAGAAAATTGAGAAGGGAGGAAAAGAATGATTTGAACAAGAGATGAACATTAAAATAGCACATGGTCCCCGCCTACAGGCCTAACTCGGAGTTCTTACTCCAAATAATGTGCAGATAATCTACACCACCACTCCAAAATCAAAGGACTAGTTTAGAACACTTGTAGAAATCACAAATGCCTTCTTTCGATGGAATTCTGGTTCTAGATTTCAACTTGAATTAAATCTAAATAGTGTTTGTATCTATTTTTCTTGAAAACAATTTTAAAAACAAAGACCGCTAAAGTCAAGAATAAAAACTCTACTTACTCAAAATGAGAATATTTTCAGCTTGCTCCACTATCAGAATAGGCCAAGGAGAGTTGTTTAAAAACCACAGCAAAGACTGATTTCCTTCTGTGGAAGCAACCCCCACAGTGATACCTGAAGTGCAGGTGATGAGGCTCACATCTCAGCCTCAGAGAGCCAAATAAGAAGCAGGTCTCAAGTGAACACGTAGTTATTCCCAGTGTTGCAACTAAAGGGGGATTTAGCTACTGACTCAGAAAGGCAGAGGCCATGATTTACCTCACTAGATAACACCCACATCATGTTGCTGAGACACTGAACTTTTTAAACAGTAAATGTATTTGGTCTTATTTGGACTTTCCCTGTACACCCATCCTATCTCCATGAAAGCACAAACAAAACAAAACAAAAATACTCCCAAAACCAAAAAAACCCAAAACATAGAGTAATCCTTGTCTGCAGTACAAGTACAACTGAACCAACACATTTATTTAGTTAGTGCTGATAAACAGCAGCCTTGAGAAACACCGAGAGTAGCAATTATCTGGTCTACTGAAGGATGCCCTCTCAGTTATCTTTTACAGGCAAAAAGAATGATTACTTGGCAGTCACTCTGAGATTTTGTGGGCCACAAATTACGTACACACATGATTCTTGATTAAGAGTCAACCTGATCTCGGTTACAGCTGTGAAAAGGCAGCAGGCAGTTGTGTTGCTCTTCATAATCAGGAACATATCGTGCTTTCAGCATGTGAGAGTAACAAAAGCATTGATGTAAATGTGCCTCAAAGTGAGAACTGAAAACATTAATATAAAAAAGTCAAATAGGACTAGGTTCTTGAAACTACATGTAAAAATTGAATTATTACAACTAAAGCAGCAAATCAAAATGTCTGCTGAGGTTTTCTGGTAGAACAACAACAAAATTAGTTGGTGCCCATGTTCAGTAAGTCACTACCACTGACAAAACTAAACCCAAAATAGAAAGTTGAAAAGTGCATAATGAAATTAAATCTTGGATCAAGTATCTGTGGAAACTGGAAATGTTTGTCCGGCAGAGTTGATGAAGGATGATTTACAGGAGGTATTAAAGTTTATCTGATCCAGCTTTGGCCTGGCGTTCCACGTAAAAAAGGATGTAGGCCTTTGCCTTCACCACGGTCTCTTCGTCAGTCAGTGTTACAGTACTGTCATTGAAATGGAACCAGCGGCCTTCGTGAGTTGCATATGCCGTGTAATGCCCAGAACCGACCCTGTGAAGAGGTAAAAGATCAAAGAAGAAAAGACCGCAGAAGTCACAAAAGAATCTGAGTGACCACACAGTTTGTCAGACATACAATAAATTTTTATAAGTACTCTATAATTAAAGAATCCTGGAGGCTTTTGGCTTAAGATGGCTAATTGAACTCATGTATTTACCTTTCTCCAATCCCATCAAAAGGACAAGGAATATACTGACACTGAAAACCAGGAAAGAATACCAGAAACTGACCAGAAACTGAGGGTCTGCTGGAACACAAAGCAGACAGCACTGAAGAAACCAGAGATGAGAAACTCTCAACCTAACAAACATAGGTCAAGGCCTACGGAAACACACAAAACTGAGTACTAGATTTCCTATTAGGCTCTTGGGGAAAAACTAAGCTTAAGAAATAAATCTGCCTCCAGAGAAGCACCTTCCCCGATACCTTGGTCACCAGGGGTTTTTCCCTATTAGCATGACCCACGCACTCACACAGAGTCCTAGAGTCAGCCCACCCAGTCAGGAGAAAAGCCTACAGGTAGAACAGAGAACTTCATAACTGCTAGAAAAATTTTACCAATAATGATCCATCTGATTCTTCATTTATTATGATTCTGAATAAATAACCAAAAATAAACTTTTTGAAGGAAAAGAAATAACATGAAAAAAGTGCCAGGAAGAACAAGTATAGCAATTAACCCTGAGGAATTTAATGTAGAAAACCAAAGAGAACTTTAAAATTTCTAATCACTACTAATGATTTCAAGAAGATATTGCAACCATAAAACAAGAATAGGCTGTTAAGTTTTAAAAGTTCTCAGGAAAATGTGATTTCCATAATAGAAAAATTTTTACGCAGGAACTAGTCTTTGATTTGGATACAGATGAAACCCAAAATAGTGATCTGGAAAAACAGTCCATGGCAGTCTTTGGAAACAGAAATCATTAAAGAATAGTTAAGACATGTATATTCAGGAAATTCACTATACATTTAATAGGGGCTCCAGCAGGGAGAAAGATACTGGGGTCAAATATACAGCATAAACAACTTTTCCATGAGCTGAAGACACCAAACACTTTTAAAAGTGTCCCTACCAAGCAAGAATACATCTGATGATATTTCTTAAGTCCAAACATAAAGGATCATACAAACTTCCAAAGAGGAAAAAAAAAGCCAGGTTGCCTATGAAGTAGTAAGACTCAGACTTGCACAAGACTTGCCATGTATAACACGTAATGAGTGGTGAAGTCAGTAACAAAGCAGTATCTACAGAGTTAGAGGGAAAAGGATTTTCAACATAGAGAGTGGTTTGGACATATAAAGCAGTTTGAAGTTTGAAGGTAAAATAGCTACTCTCAAACCAGAAACCAGAAAGTATACACCCCCTAATAAAAACTTTCAGGGAAAAAATAATTGTTATTCAACAAGATCAAAAATAAGTCTTTAAATAGGTAGATGACATGGGGCCAAGCATGGTGGCTCATACCTGTAGTCCTAGCATTTTGGGAGGCTAAGGCAGGAGGATTGCTTGAGCCCAGGAGTTCAAGACCAAACCAGGTAACAGAGCAAGACCTAGTCTCTACAAAAAAAATTAAAAACTAGCCAAGTATGGTGGCCCATGCTTGCAGTCCTAGCTTCCTGGAGGCTGAGGCAGAAAGATAGCCTAAGCCCAAGTGGTCGAGGCTATGGTGAGCTGTTGACCATAACGCTGCACTCCAGCCTGGGCCACAGAGAAAAACTCTGACTCAAAAATAAAGTAGAAGACATGAGGTAAGTTATTCCAAATAATTTCCCATTTTCCCCCATTTAAATTTCAATTGGCAAAGAAGATAAGCAACTTTGGAATAAAGACAACTCAGGATTTTGTGGACAAACAGATTGGGTTCTGAATGCTGGGCTCGAATGAGCCATTCATCTTGTTTTTATATGCCTTCTCGGAAGGTTTCACAACATCCTCTCGGGAATACTCTTCCAGCCCCATATTGAAGGAAAGCTCTACGTCGCCCACTTTAATGTATGTGAATCCATCTTTTAGGGAGCTCAGGGAGAACTAGCAAGAGTAGTGCAAAACTGCAGGGTGTCATTGTACTGGCCACCAAGTACTCCCAGCCAAAAGAAGTCTGCTGTCATACTCACCCAGAACCATGGTGCACCACCACAGCGGCGAGGTCATACAGGCAGTTGTCAGGACCACTGTTTTCAGGCTAGAACAAGGGAGAAGGCATGCCCAGGACCGCGTTAGGAGCAGTGGTCAGTATCTCCTACCTTGATGACCTCCACCCTCTCTGTGTGAAGACTTCATTTTGTTGAGCCATCCTTTCACTGTGCTAAAAAGGTAATCACCTTACCTCCAGTAAGTAGCATTTCATATCTAGGCCTCTCAGTGGAAATTCTACATAGGTATCAACTTTGTTTCTTAAATATGCTGTCCAATGAAATCTTTTCAAATGTAAGCAGAGCACCTAGATGACAGAGATAAGGACAAAGATTATGAACAAACACCTAATTTACCTTTCAGTCAAAGTTGGATACTAATGTCTCTCATATTGGTTCAGTGCTAATGTCTCTCAAGTAATATTTTAGGTGCCCTGTCAGTCTTTGATTCTTGATATTGCCTTCTTCTATGCACACCTTCTGCATTCTCAAAAGGGTTTAGCGTTTACTGAAAACCCCAGAGACAAATACAGAACAGTTACAGTCTACAATCACAAAATAATTTGTCCTCTCATCATTTTCCCCTTTAAAACTGCATCATAATTTGACATTCAACACTTACCTTGGGTAGTTTTTGAATCCAAAACTTTTTTGTGGATTTTTGTTTCTTTTTGCATTTATGGCACATATATAACTCTGTCTCATCAAGTTCTTCTAAGTCGGTAAAACTGCGAAGACAATCTACAACAAATGGATTTTAGCAACATTAAAACAAGATGCCTTTTATAGAAGCAGTATACTACAGAAAAAAGACTGAACTCTGAAGAAATGACCCAGGTTTAAATCTTAGCTTTATTAGCTAAAGTCAACCTATCTCTGTTGCAAACTAGAGACAAAAAAATAATAGCCACTCTGAAGAACTGTTATGAGGAAGAGAAACAGCATGTATAAAAAGCACCTGACATCATACCTGACATCTGGTGATAATTAATGACAGAGGATAGTGCTTTTGTTTTACTAATAGTAATGAAATAATTAAATCTAGATAGTTCTCATAAAAATGGTTCCCTGATGAAATCAAAGTTTCAAAGCTCCAAGCTCATTAAAAATACAGTCAAATTTAGATCAAACATTTTCATAGACATGGCTTATTTTTTTTTAAGTGCAGAAGGCTATGCTGTCAACTTTATCTGCCGTTAAACTCCTATTACTCTTTTGTCCAGACTGTATACTCTCAGTCCCCTAGATAAACCATGGCTACATTTTTTCTTTTAAAGATTTCCATAACCTGGGATTGGTAAACTACAGCTCTAAAGCAAATTGAGCCACCTAGTTTTGTAAATAAAGTTTTGTTGGAACAGCCATGCTCACTTGTTTACATATGTCTGGCTGCTTTTACACTAGACTAGCTGAATTGAGCAGTCAGGGCAGAGACCTTAAGTGCTGTAAAGCCTAAAATACATAAGTCCTCAACATCAGCGGCAGGCTCTGGAAAATTGTGACTTCAAGCAAAGCGATAACAATGTATATAATGAAATCAGTTTTTTTCCTGGTCAATGTTATAACTAAACATTAATGGAACAACATTATTTGAGGACCTGCTATATGTCCACTTACAGTAGCAGTTTCTAAGAACCTATTGATGACTTTATTTTTTCTTTGAGTCAGAGTCTCACTCTGTTGTCCAGGATAGAGTGCAGTGGCATGCTCAGCTCACAGTCACTGCAGCCTCGACCTGCTGGGTTCAGGCACGATCCTTCCACCTCAGCCTTCCAGGTAGCTGGGACTACAAGCGTGTGCTACCATGCCTGGCTAATTTTTTATTTATTGTAGAGATGAGAACTCACCATGTTGCCCAGGCTGGTCTTGAACCCACGGACTAAGGCAATCCTCTCGCCTCAGCCTCCTAGAGTGCTGGATTATAGGCATGAGCCACTGTGCCCAGCTCCATGCATTCTTGAATAACCTTTGCTCCTGATCCCAATACCTGGTAGACACATCCCACCCGGCCTCCCCTCAACTCAATTCTCACTTCTTTCTTCGTAGCTTTCCCAACCTCTAGTGGACAGTGACCCTTCTTTCTTTAACTTTGTCCTAACAGAGTCCATGAAAACAACATTGTCAACTTGCTATTTTATGTCAAGGGTAGTTCCTAGGAAAGGACATATAATTTCAGTGTTACATTTCCTGAAGCAAGTCTCAGGCACTAAACCCAAACTTACAAATGGAGTGAAGTTGTCCTCAGGGCCTCCCAAGTTCCAGATCTCTAGCTATAAAAAGCACTGACCACATCGAGACTGACTGGCACATGGATCCCCTCAGGATGATCACTGTGGGGCTTATGAGCTCTGAAGCTGAAATTGCAGACGCTTTCATCAGCAAGTATTAGTTGCACCATGTAAAAAGCTGTGGCCTTGGCAGGGGCAGGGAAGTCATGAGGAGAATGAGAGATGTAGGAGAATGGAGAATGAGGAAAATAGTATTTTCTGCATGTAAAATCAGTATCTAAACACTCATACTAGAAAAAGAAGAGAACTTCAACATTATAAAGGCCATATGTCAAAATTCTTAGCACAAGCAACACAGCGAAACCTTGTCTCCACAAAAAATAAAAAAGTTAGCCGGGCATGGTGGCACATGCCTATAACAGGAGGCTGAGGCAGCAGGATTACCTGAGCCCAGGAGGTTGAGGCTGAAGTGAGCTATGATCATGCCACTGTACTCCAGCTGGGAGACAGAGTGAGACCTCTAACTTAAAAAAAAAAGGTGGGGGGAGGTGGAGAAGGAAGAAAATCCCACAGTGAGCATCATACTCAATATGCCACTTCTATTCAAAACAATAGTGGAAATTTTAGCTAGAGCAATTAGGCAAGAAAAAAGAATTAAAGGGCAGCCAAAATGGAAAGGAAAAGGTAAAATTGTCTCTGCTCATAGATGACATTATTTTATAATGTTCAAAATACTAAAATTAAAAAAAGTTAAAAATAAATGAAATGTACCTGAAAACTAAAAAACATTGCTGAAAGAAATTTTAAAAAGATAATCAAGACAGTGTGGTATTGATAAAAGAAAAAACAAACAGATCAGTGGAACAGAATAGAAAGCCCAGAAATAGACCCACATAAATATAGTCAACTGACTTGACAAAGGAGCAAGGGCCATACAATGGAACAAACAGAGTCTTTTCAACAAATGGTGCTAGAACTGGACATTCACGTGCAAAAAACAGAATCTAGCCATAGACCTTACACCTTTCACAATAATTAACTCAAAATGGATCAAAGACCTCAATGAAAAGGAAAATTATAAAATGGGAGGAAAATATTCACAAATCATGTATCTGAATAAGGGATTAATGACCATGATATATAAAGGACTCCTACAACTCAACAACAAAAATAAACAACCTAATTCAAAAGTGGGCAAAGGATTTGAATAGATATTTCTCCAAAGATATACAAATGGCCAATAAACACACAAGAAGATGTTCAACATCACTAAGTATTAGCAAAATGCAAATCAAACCATAATGAGATACCACTTCACAGCCCATAGGATGGTTGTTAGAACCAAATCAAGAGTTCAATCTCATTCACACTAGACACACACACACACACACACACACACACACACACACACACACACACAAAACCCCAGAAATACTCCCAACTAAGGAGGCGAAAGATCTCTACAAGGAGAACTACAAAACACTGATGAAAGATTTCATAGACGACACAAGCAAATGTAAGAACATTTCATGTTCATGGACTGGAAGAATCAATATTGTTAAAATGATCATATTTCCCAAAGCAATCTACAGATTCAATGCAATCCTGATCAAAATACCAACTTAGTTCTTCCAAGAACTAGAAAAAAACAATCATAAAGTTGATATGGAACCAAAAAAGAACTCAAAATAGCCAAAGCAATTCTAAGCAAAAAGAAGGCATTGTACTGCCTGACTTCAAATTACACTATAAGGCAATAGTAACTAAAACAGCATGGTACTGGTACAAGAATAGACAGATAGACCAGTGGAACAGAACAGAGAACCCCAAAATAAAACTACATTCCTAAAACCAACCAATCTTTGGCAAAGTCAACAAAAATAAACAATGGGGAAAGACACCCTATTCAATAAATGATGGTGGGGAAATTGGCTAGCTATATGCAGAAGAATGAACTGGACCCCTCACTCTCACCGTATACAAAAAATTAACTCAAGATGGATTAAGACCTGAAACTATAACAATCCTAGAAGAAAACCTAAGAAACACTCTTCTGGACATTTGCCTAGACAAACAATTTAGACAAAGACCCCAAAAGCAACTGCACTAAAAATAAAAATTAGACAAATGGTATTTAATTAAACTAAAAAGCTTCTGCACAGCAAAAGACATATTCAACAAAGTAAACAGAAAACCCACTGAATAGGAGAAATACTTGCAAATTATGCCTCAGACAGAAGGCTAATCTCCAGAATCTACAACAACCTCAAACTCAGCAAAAATATATATATATAAAACCTCATCAAAAGTGGGCAAAGGATATATAGTCCCCTCAAAGAAAAACACACAGTCGGCCAAGAAACATATGAAAAAATGCTTAATCAGAGAAAGGCAAATTAAAACCACATGAGATATCACCTCATACCAGTCAGAATGACTATTATTAGAAAGTCAAAGAATAGTCAGATGCGGTGGCTCATGCCTGCAATCCCAGTATTTTGTGAGGCTGAAGCGAGAGGACTGCTTGAGGCCAGGAGTTCAAGACCAGCCTAGGCAGCACAGTAGGACCTTGTCTCTACAAAAAATCAGCTGGGTATGGTGGCATATGCCTGTCATCCCAGCTCCTTAGGAGGTTGAGGTGGAAGGATAGCCCCGAGTCCAGAAGGTTGAGGCTGTGGTGAGCTGTGATGGTGCCAGTGCATTCCAGCCTCAGCAACAGAGTGAGAGCCTGACTCAAAAACAAAAGTCAACAACAGATGCTGGCACACTTGCAGAGAAAAGGGCATGCTCATTCACTGTTGGTGGGACTGCAAACCAGTTCAACCACTATGGAAAACAGTATGGAGAGTTCTCATAGAACTAAAAACTGAATTATCATTTGACCCAATAATCCCACTACTAGGGAACTACCTACAGGAAAATAAATCAGCATATATAGATCCCTGTAGTCATATGTCCATTGCAGCACTGTTCACAATAGCACAATCATGGAACCAACCTAATTATCCACCTACAATTGACTAGATAAAGAAAATGTGTGTGTGTGTGTGTGTGTGTGTGTGTGTGTGTGTGTACCATGAAATACTATGAGCCATCAAAAGAATGAAACCATGTCCTTTGCAGTAACATGGATGGAGCTGGAGATCCTCACCCTAAGGTGAACTGACTCTGAAACAGAAAACCAAAACATTGCATGTTCTCACTCATGTGTAAGCTAAATGATAACAAAAGATGGAAATAACAGACACTGGAACATCAATAAGGGGGATGTGGTTAGGTTTTATAAAATTACCTATTGGGTATAATGTTCACTATCTGGAGAACAGGCCACCTAGGATAGCAATCACCACCACTATACCATATGTCCATGTAAACAACATCCATGTGTACCCCCGAATCTAAAAGAAAAATGGGGGAAAAACCCCACAAAAGCAGGAAATAACGTGTCAGCTGGGGGAAATTAAAGCCTTTGTATACTGCTGTCGGGAATGTAAAATGGTACAGCCACTGTAA